TATAACTTGCAGAGTGCCCAGTGCATTAAAGGCTGACCATAAGCAATTGTTAAGCCAATATCGGTAGAGCAGAATAAAGGGCAATACAAGAGGGTGGAGAGCAGATACATTTCTTTGCTAGAATTATTTCTCAGTCCTATTTTAATGACAGATTATCACAATGACAGGCCTCGGGAAAGTGGCTTCTCTTTATTCCTTTATTCAACACATATTTATTGAGTGTCTATGATGTGCCAGGAAGTTTTTAAGGCATTGGGGATATTTATGAATAGGGTTAGAACTTGAGTCTAAATATTCTAAAGATGTTGGAGGACATTAGAAGTGCTCCTGACAATTTTCCTCTCATTTCTTTCCTTGGATCAAATATCATTTTTCCCCTTTTTCTGAAGTTAGGAAATACCTTCAAATCATTTTAATATAGTTTTCAGGAAAATTTTTTGCACCTTCCTCCAGAAACCACTGGAAGAATTAATTTTATTTATGAGAGGTAAATAATTTTTTAATGATTAAAAAAACAGTAAGGAGGAAGAGGCAGAGAGCAAAATGAAAGATGAGATGGGGAGAAGCAGGAGAGAGACCAGCATATGATAAGGATATTGTATTATTTGCAAAGTTAACTAAAGTGTATATAGGAGGTTGAATTATAGGTTCATGAATTCAGATGTACAAGATGTAATTTTATTTATACTGTCATTATTTTTTTTAACAAATCCCCATTTTGTCTGAGTCAGAAAATTTTATGTATTCATCCTTGAAGTTATGAAAACCAATGATTTGTCAATTCATTAAGCTTAAAGTCAGTTACCTCTTTCTCTCTGTCTTTACGATGTTAAATGCCAGGGCTTAAGAAAAGGCCATCCCAGCAAAGGTGGGGAGAAGACACGACGTGTCCACCTCATTGTGTGCCCCATGGATTGCCACCATGGTCTCCCTCAAGGCTCTGGCAGGATGCACACCCTCCTCCTGGCTGGGGAATGACTTCCAGAACTATGGCCTCCGAAGCCAGCACGCAAGGGCTGTGAGCCTTTGGGGGTGCACTGCTCTATCATTCCAGGGGCCCTATCTTCTCATTGTCATTAAGCGATTCATCCTGCCATACTTTCCTCTGGAGAGGCTACACCATAAGACACAGAGAATTTGCTGTGAGGTCACAGATGGAAAATGGGATCAAGTCCAGCATTGCCCTGGGATCCCCACAGGCAACACTGGAAGATCCTGTCTTATTCCACCTCATTCCAACCTGCTTCTTGGTCCAAGGCGTGGTAGGAAAACAGGGCCCCGCACTTCCGCAGCCATGACACAGCCTCCTCTCACATCTCTGATAGTGCTCCCTGTCCTTCACCGCTTCAGCTTGGAGTTCTGCTTTAAACAAAGAGGCAGATTCTTTATGTATCATCTATCTATCTATCTATCTATCTATCTATCTATCTATCTATCATCTATCATCTATCCCCATCTATTGATCTGTCTATTGATTTAGAAAACTCTAAATGGAGGAAGTGATTACTTCAGTAGGTTCGATAGAAGTCAACCACTATGGGTTGAGGAAAGATGTGGGATCTCTCTATCTAGATGGTTTATATCTCTTGTAATTCATGGACAGTTAGAAATCACATACCTTATTTTGGATTCTGCTTTAAACTTTAAGTCAATTCAGTTGCTGTTTTTCAGTTTTTTTATCATCAGAAATAATTATGATACCAATATTAAATAAAGGCACAGTCATTATTTAGGAAAAGCAAATTTAGAAATAGTTCATGTTAAAACTGAGCCATATTTAGAAATAGTTCATTCACCTCAAAAGACTGTTCAAATCATGGTCGGTAAAGTCAAGTAGATGGTGACAAATGAAATGTCTTTGGAATTCAGAAACTTGAGTGATGAGCTTTTCAGAAGAGCTAAGCATTAAAGAACTGACACATTTATTTTCCCTGTTCTATTTAAAACACAAAATATGCTACTTTAACTGTATAACTTAAATTTTACCACTTAGGTATTTATTATCTATGTATAATATATCTTGATCTTACACAACTTCAGTTCTCTGTTGTTTCTTACACTTTCCAACTACTAGCAATTGTCAAAGTTGTTCAACATAATTAATCTAAGGTGTTCTAAATTTACCATTAATGGAGAGTATTAACTTTTTTGTCTGGAACTCTTCTTCTAAGAGTTCTTTACAGAAAATCAACTTGGATTAGGTTGGGACCTTAAATTTTAAGTTTTTATTAACATCTGCATCTTTGATACCTAGAGTGAAGTAGCATATGGTAGATGTTCAATAGAAATGTATTAAAAGAATAACAAAATATGTGAAAACAGATTTTGGTAAATAGAAGGAAGTGAAGATAGGGCTGAACACAGAGAAATAATAGTTGCTTTCAGAGCAAAATTTTTGGATATATTTCATTTATTCAGTGTGGCTCCAGAGGTTTAAAAAAAAGCCAATGAGCAGAAATTATAGACAGATGTGCCTAACATGCATGGCTGTTTTAAATAACTGGTAGGACTGACAATGAAAATGAGAATTAGGTCTAGAATTTGGTTTTTGCACTTTTCACTTTCAAAGATAAGACATGTTATGTACCTACAATACAGTGTTTCTCAAAATTTGTTCCATAAAGTTCTAGTTGCCCTGGATTGTTGGTGAAAAGGGGCTTCCTGCATATATAAGCTTGGAAATTTTTACATACTTTATATTCTCTTAGGTAAGCAAAATGCATTTTTGCATATTTAATTTCAGTACACTGAGAAGACCCTTTAGAAAAGAAAGATGCTAACTTTTGTTGAATCCGGAAGTTTTCATGTTGGTCTGACCCTGATGTGATGATTTTTGCAGACATCTATGACCATCCACAGAGTGTTATTCAGAAGTGTAGGAAATTCTGACATAATATCACTTGAGTAATACTCACTCTGAGATCATAGATGAGATGATTTCAATAAGCAGGAAGGGAATGCATTAGTTTATTTTTCCTCACTCTTGCATCTGTTATTAACTGTATCCATGCACATGGGCCACTGTGCCTCTTTTCCCACAAAGACTCCCTTGCATTCCCATTTTTGTTAACATCAACTTGAGGGTCTCTCAAATATGATCTCACCGATATGTGGAATTTGAGAAACAAGGCAGAGGATCATAGGGGAAGGGAGGAAAAAATGAAACAAGATGAAACCAGAGAGGGAGACAAACCATAAGAGACTCTTTTTTTTTTTTTTAAAGATTTTATTTATTTATTTGAGAGAGAGAGAGAGAATGAGAGATAGAAAGCACGAGAGGGAAGAGGGTCAGAGGGAGAAGCAGACTCCCTGCTGAGCAGGAAGCCCGATGTGGGACTCGATCCTGGGACTCCAGGATCATGACCTGAGCCGAAGGCAGTCGCTTAACCAACTGAGCCACCCAGGTGCCCCATAAGAGACTCTTAATCTCAGGAAACAAACTGAGGGTTGCTGAAGTGTTGGGGGGGTGGGAGGGATGGGGTGGCTGGGTGATGGACATTGGGGAGGGTATGTGCTATGGTGAGTGCTGTGAATTGTGTAAGACTGATGAATCACAGACCTGTATCCCTGAAACACATAATACATTATATGTTTAATAAAAAAGAAAGAAAATATGTAGAATTTCCTCTTGAAGTAATAGACTTGTCCCATACCAAAATACTACTACACTCAGCTCCATGCCAGACAAAGGTTTAGAGGAAGGAATAGCGTGTATTCAGACCAGTGTGTGCCTGGCACAGTTTGTTATGCACCTGTTGAATAGTTGTTCTACAACAACATTTTGTTACTCTTACAACCTTAGAGCTTCAGTTTTGCAGATGCAGCTCTGGAGCCAGAACAATGAGTCACCCAACTTTAGGCAGGATGGATTGCTTTATTCTAAAACAAATAATTCTTTTCCTGTAAGGTGTATTTCTGAAATATCATACCCGCCTTCTGAATATAATGTTTGTGGTAGTAACATAGATTTTTTTTTTTTTTTTTTTTTTTTTAGTGAGACATTTTCTCCATCCTGCCCTTCTTTGGGAGAAAGGTTATTTTATTTTATTTATTTTATTTTTTATTTTATTTTATTTGATTTTATATTTTATTTTATGTGATAAAACACTTCTCATGAGGTCTATCCTTTTAGCCAATTATAAGTCCACATTATTGTTGACTAGAGGCTCAGTGTTGTGTTTCTGATCTCTAGTGCTTATTCATCTTACTTAAATAAAACTTTATGACAGTTGATTAATAACACCCCATCTCCTCTTCCCCCAGGCCCCTAGTAACTACCCTCCAGCCCTCGATTTTGTGAGTTTGACTATTTTAGGCCCTTCATGTAAGTGGTACCCTGTAGCACTTGTCTTTCTGTGTAAGGAGACATTTTCCTAACCTGGACTTTTTTTTTTTCTTTTTTTTAAAGTTTCATTTATTTATTTATTTATTATTTATTTATTTATTTTTGACAGCGAGAGAGGGAACACAAGCACGGGGAGTAGGAGAGGGAGAAACAGGCTTCCCGTGGAGCAGGGAGCCCGATGCGGGGCTCGATCCCAGGACCCTGGGATCATGACCTGAGCCGAAGGCAGACACTCAACCGACTGAGCCACCCAGGCGCCCCTAGACTTTTTCAATCCTTGTTTATGTAGCCGTTTATTCACAAGGAATGACTGCAACATTGTTTTGTTTTCAGGGTGTGCAACTGTTTTTCTACACATTTTCTTAATTAGGCCACAGCATGAAGTCAGGTCACCTTTGTTGTCTATTTTACAGATAAGAAATTAAGGTTCATACATTTATTTAGCTATGAAGTTGGCACAACAGAAATCAAACCCAGGCCTTGAGACTATCTTTTGCTAAATTACATGGTCGTATCTAAGAATAATTCTCTAATGGATTGCTTGAAGTGTGATATTGATTGGATGGCATAATACACTCACAGCACTATGCTGATTTTTTTTAAAGAAGGTTTCCAAGAATAATTTGGGTTGTTTTGTTTTGTTTTAACTGCTTAGGGTTGGTGCAAATGTACAGTTCTCCTGTGAGGACAATTACGTGCTCCAGGGATCCAAGAGCATAACCTGTCAGAGAGTCACAGAGACACTGGCTGCGTGGAGTGACCATCGGCCCATTTGCCGCGGTAAGGTGCATGCCCTGGTGTCCTCACGGTCATTCCGTCTTCCGTCACAGGTCGCACGTTCTGTGAATACGCAGTGAGACTGAACTGCAAAGCAGCATCGTGTACTTGGTGTACAGACAAAGCAGAACAAAGCAGATGATGATGCACATTTTCCTAGTAATGTGGGTAGAAAAGAAATATTTCTTTGAAATTGGTTAGCAAGCAAACATTTCCAAGGATATTAGTGGTTTTTAAACTTCAGAAACTATGGGAGCAAATCTAATCATTCAAATTCATGCACACACACTTGCTCAGTCCAACTTGGTGCTCATCTATATACACACACAGTTTGCACATTATGAAAATAGGTTACGTAACCAGATCCTCTGGCAAGTTTTATGCACGCCCCTGCAAATCTAAAAATGCTCACCTTTCAATGGCAGTGAGGTTAATTCTTGGGTTTTGATGACACCAGTGATAAAGGAAGTTTATTAGCACGATCCTGAGTTAATATTTCACTGATAAATTGTCTTAAACTAATCTCTGACATAGCAGAACAAAAGAGTGCATCATCATCATCTTCTTCAAAAATGTCAAAATATTGATTTGTAACTTCCAGGAAGTATATGAATAGTCCTACCAGAATCCACAGTGAAAACAGCAGAAAACTGTTTTAGCTGTTTTAACATGAAAATTAATAAAAATCCAAAGAAAAACGAGGGTTTGGTTTTGGTTATGGTTTTTGCATTTTGGCCATAAAATAATTTATGCAAACTGGTACTTTTATTTATTTATTTATTTATTTATTTATTTATTTATTTATTTATTTTTAAAGATTTTATTTATTTAACAGAGAGAGACACAGAGAGGGAACATAAGCAGGGGGAGTGGGAGAGGGAGACGCAGGCCTCCCTCCGAGCCAGGAGCCCAATGCGGGGCTCGATCCCAGGTCCCTGGTGTCATGATCTGAACCGAAGGCAGAAGCTTAATGACTGAGCCACCCAAACTGGTACTTTCAAAGGAAGGGGAAAAAAAGCACAAAGTCGACCATGGAGTAAAAAGGGAAGTTTTATATATAACAATATTTTATGTCTCCTTATAGCCTTTTTTACGGTGAAAAGATTCATATTTTATAAATTTTAAACAATGTCAGATACATCCTGTGAAATCAAGTAGTTACCAAATACATTGCTAACTTTATCTAAGAAAGACTTCTTGCAGGATTTGCTATATTGTTCCCCTTACCTATAACTACTTGAGGTTTTATAAACTGTGGGAAATGCATCATTGTGGCATCTTCATGCACCCTGAGGACAGACTTCGTCTGTGTTCTGGCTGAAGGAGGCTCCTTCCTATGCTTCTTGGAGATGCACCAATCTCTGGTCAAGGAAATGTGAATGCTATGCCCTTCTGCTCTTTGTTACTAGACCACTTTGTCTAATACTAAAGTGACAGTACCTGGCTTCCAAAGGAACTACAGGAAAAGTCATGTTCCTACCAAGTGATGGTAATGTGTAATGCTCCCAGAAATAAATGAGGACCAATTCACCAATATCATTTTCCCCCCTAAGGGAAATTTTTTCCCCTAAGAGGGAAAAATTATTTTATTCTTTAATGTTTTCCTTGCTTTTCAATACCAGAAATATATGTCATTATTTTAAAAGCCCAAACTAGGCAAAACTAGGAAATGTGCATCCATTTTAAATTGATATTTTGGAGTCACATAAATGAAATATATGTGTAGGATATTATTTGATTATCTTATTTATTAATCCATAACTTTTTCTTTTTTTGCCCTGAATCTCTTCTTAAACTCAAAACAATCTGTTGGGATCCTGGGTCCCACCTATAACCTGACTTGGTATCAAACACCCAGGGGCTCTCACCTCCTAGCAGACAGGGCTCCCCATCCAGGCTGTGGGGGGGGGGAGGCATCCTTCTTCATCCTCCACCTCCAAACACGTCACTCTGAGATAATTGCACAGAGAGCCTTTTAGCTTCCAGTTCTCACAGAATCTCAGTCCTACTGAATGATGTTTTAGAAGAGAAAGCTCTCCCGTGGCATCTTGGTTGTGAGGTTCTCTGGGCTTGTTTTCCATAAGAGACCAGTCACTCTCAGACACCCACCTCCCTCATACCGAGAAGCGAAGAGCATTCACCTCTATTGTCCCCTCCTTCCTCCTCCCAGCTGGTGACCCTGTGGTTTTCCTTAAACTAGATATACCTTCATTTTTATGGAGTAATCCTTTAGTTCGTGTTCAATTTAGTAATTGTCCAATTACTTTTTAGCTTTCTGAAATGATGAGCTATAGTAGCTGGCAGTAAGTTTTAAGAAGACATTTCCATGAAGGATGTATATATCCAATATGTATACCTCAACCAGAACAGATTGTGTCTAGGGAACAATAACGGTATTTTTTTAAACTTTACATTTTAAAGAAATTATATTTTAGTATATTTGGAGTAGTAAAACATTAAACAATCAAAAAAAATGAAGTAGAAAAGCCTGAAACCTTCTAAAGAGAATTTGAGATACACTATTTAGAATTAGGTGATAAAGACTAGGTGACAAAAAACCAAACCCTAGAAGAGTTTCCACCACATGGAAATAGGTTTCTCTCTCATAAAGAAGGTAGGAGTCAGGCAGTACAGGACTAGGGTGGCAGCTCTGTCTCAGGGATAAAAATTTCCTCAAGACTCACCCTGTCAGCCCTGTGGTCTGGCCCTCCCCCTCATGGTCCAAGGTGCTGTCCAAATCCCAGGTAATAGGATACAGAGGGGTCAGAGGAAGCAGGGAGAAGCCCAGCAGGAAACATCACATGCATTTCTGCTTGGTACCACTGACCAAATTCCAGCCAAGTATTCCTACCTGGTTGTGAGACTTTGAAATATAATTTGTAGTCTGGGCAATCAAATATACAACAAACAATTATATTTCCATGGAAGAAAGGGGAAATATACATTAAGGGAAAAAGCAATCTCTGCCAAGGAGATATACTTCCATAAGAAGGAGAGGTAGAATGAATCACTGAATAGATATCACAACTGTTTTGTTTTTGTTTTTGTTTTATTGTTTTGTTGTTGTTGTTGTTTGTTGTTGTTTTTTTCTTCCCTGTATCACTTGCAGCTTTCTATGAGTGAGAGGGTAGCCAGTGATCATTCAGGCGATCATTCAGCTTTCACTCATGTCTGTTGGTATTTTTGTATCAGTGCTGAGTTTTAGCTGTAAGCAATATGGATGAAAACAGCTGGAACGGTGTGTATAGGAGTATCCCAGTTTCTGGACTAGAAAAGACTTATCTGTGAGCATTATGGTCAAGTAAGAAACCTGTACATTCCCCTTCTCTACCCTGCACTCACCTCCTATAGCCATATGGTCCCCTAACAAGAGGACAGCTTTCTTGTTCAAAACCAGCAGGAACGTACATCCCTCTAATCTGGAAAGCAGAGTCTTATACAACATCATGTAATCACCATGTAACATGACATAATCAATTACTCATACAGCTGAATGACCCCATGTATTAGTACATCTGTGGGCTGATCCTATAGAGGATTATTTTGAGGAACCTCTAGATTTGTGCTCTCCACTAGAAATAAAATGCAAGTTATATATAATTAAAAATATGTAAAAAAGTCTAGTTGCCAGATTAAAAGCCAGTAAAAAAGCAAAAGTGAAACAGGTGAAGTTAATATTAATAACATTTCACACAATATCCCACAGATACTATCCTTTTAACATATAGTCAATATAAAGATTATAAGAAGATTTTTTTTTTACCTTCTTTCTTTTTTTTCATGTTATGACTTGGAAATCCAGGTGTATTTTAAACTTAGAGCACATCTCGTCTTAGAGTAGCCATGTGTCATATGCTCAGTAATCTTACTGGCCAGTGCCCACTATGGACATTAAAACTCTAGATACTTAGCTCAGCCTGTGGGAAAGCAGAAACACCCTTGTAGATATGAAGAGAAGAAATGAGTTCAGTGAGTGATACCCTGTGTCCCTGGGTGGCATCTCTCACTGGAGAATATACTTTCATCCATTAAAATTTGTAAGTTTTTCAGGTTAGCAGTATTTAGGAACTCTGAGCCTGTCATCATTCCCTCCTTTAAATAGTGCCTCGGGGTGCCTGGGTGGCTCAGACAGTTAAGCATCTTCCTTTGTCTCAGGTCATGATCCCGGAGTCCTGGGATCAAGACCCACATCGGGTTCCCTGCTCATGGGGGAGTCTGCTTCCCCCTCTCCCTCTGCCCTTCCCATCTCTCTGAAATAAATAAATAAGATTAAAAAAAATGCCTCTACTTGGTTCTGATGATGTGCTCATCAATTACAGAAGAGCTGAAAAAATCATTTTTAAATGGAAATTTAAAAAAATTAAAGGGGAGATTTTATAACGATTTCTATAAAAAGATAGGTTGTGATATCTAAAATGTAAGGGGAGATGGCTACCATGAAACTTAATGATTTTTCAAATAAAACCCAAAACAGACCGTAGGAATACTTACTTAGCTATCGATGGGTCCCAAATGCCAAGAGCAATTTTCTGAGTTCATTTTCCAGTCTGTGCTCTCACCATAATAAATACTCTGTAAGAAGAGAACATCATGGTTTGGGTTTTCTTTCATTCTGAGCCTTTAAAGGAACCCTTATATTGATCATCTCAGCCAACATGTTCTAAATTCAACCATCACTCAAATGCTGTAAAATGCCCCTGGTCTGAGCTTTGGACCCATTATGAGATTTCAGATAGGTGAGTTAAGGACTTGTTCTCAAAGTTCCCATCTTCATGAAGGGTCTCTAACTCTTAGGTAATTATTGTGCCTTCTAGAGAAGGAATATCTGATGGAAGCATTTGATAAATTGCAGTGAGTCAGAAGTGATCTTTCACATCTGGACACTGGTGTCATTAGCCGATGCTTACATTAGCTAATTAGCTTTGAGGATGGGGGGGGGCATTACTTTTTCCTCCAGCTACTGAATAGAGGAATGGTTGTCAAGGCTGGTAATTATACAAGAG